GCAGCGACACTATTTGGTGGGGCTAGTATTAGAGTTAGAGTTCCACATGAACCAATTATAGGGTGTCATGAAAGTATGTAGGGACTCAAAAAAATTTCCGTTTGAAAGAGGGGTAATTTTATGCTAGAAAATAATAGGTTGGGTTTTGAGGGACCAGTAGATTAGGCAAAGTGTAAAAGTAAAACATACTGAATAGTTTAGGTACGATTTTGACTATTCTCTGTAAAATGAAGATAAACAAAGTTCAGTAATCTGCACTATCTTAGCATAGTTACCTTGTAGTTGTACATAATCTCATTATAAGGCGCGGTATAACCTAAAAGCATTGCCAAATCTGAATATCGGATCCTACTGAGGTTCAACCGGCGATCGAGCCTAGTGGTGCTTATGGCTTTTCCTATTTCGACTTGGATTGAAAATACGGGACAGGAAAGGAAATGATTCATTCAGATCAAATATGAGAGTCCAGTTGCATTGCTAGATTCCATGTTGTATATTTGAAAGAGGTTGACCTCCTTTCTTCTCTCATGATATACTCCTCTTCCCACCAAACCCCTTTTCTCCTCAGTCCACAAAGACAAAATGTAGGACTGGTGCCAACAGTTCATCACGGAAGAATGGACTCACTAAGTTGGGATTACTAATTACTAATACTAATCTAATATAATAGTCTATAGACCTCATTAAGTCAGGATCACAAGTGAAACTCCAGGATCCGTGTCCTAAAGCTCGAACTTACACAATATAAACTCCAGGCAAGGATACTTTCCTAGAGTCCACTATAAATATTGGAGTTCAAACTTAAACAGTTCAAGCTCCAGATAACGTGGACTTACAGTAAAAATCTTGAATTTTTTTAAAATTGCAAGTGAAGCTATTTTTGGTGATTACTATTCAATCTGTATTCAATTTCCAAATTATTTAATTTTTAGCTACTTTATGATTATAAACTAAAGACAAAAGGCATCTCTACTTCTTTTTGACTTCTTCCAAAAGCTTTTCCTGAGTTTACTTCTTACTATAGGGAATTGCTATATACTAGCTAGGTTGGTCCCTACTCCACTAGTTTAGACATTAGAATGTGGCGGAGCCAAATTTTCGACTAAGGGGTGGCAAAATATAAAGAAATAAAATCATGTGGAAGTCAAGGAGTGTCAATATGTAATATATACACATAAAAGTATATATTTACATAGCTACACTGTGTAATATTCCGACGAAGGGGTGTCAGTCGACATCTCTCAAGTATATGTGACTCCGCGTACACTGAATTTCTACTTACTAGAGAAACACGCAGACTCTAGAAAGGTAATTAGATCAATGACACTTGAAAAACTTATTGGATGAATGTGGGTTGCTACTGAGGAGGTTAAGGGCCACATCTGTTAGACACAAGCTACTGAAAGAACATTGAAAAAAACAAATTCAGAAAATGGACGTAGCAAGTTCTAAACAACTAAATAATTATTAGCCTTGTTACCAAATGGGATCCAACCGCGAAAATTCTCAGTGCTTGTTGATGTCCATATGGATCTACAAGACACATTTTAATACAAAGCGTTACATTTGTCAATAGCATTAAGGTCTATGATTGGGAATTTAATTTCCTCTATAGTTTTTAACTGTTTTAATTGTGGATTACAATGTTGTTGAATCTTTTATTTGAAGTTAAGGTTGTAATAAAAATGTTTGATTAGTCTATCATGTTTTTTTTTCAATTTATTAACTCTTACAAGAAGAGAAACAATATGTTACTTTCATCTGGAAAAAAGAACTGAACGTACCAAGTGGACATTATGGGCATCTATATATATAAAATACAGCCTAATCAGTTCTTTAACTTAGTTTCACTTTTCAACAATAACAGTAAGACGGAGAGGAAATAAAATTAGGGGAAAATGTTAGCTTCCATGAATGAACATGCTCACACCAAATACGGAAAAATACAAAGAACAACATTTATTAGAAGAGTTTTATTCCAAGGCTTTCATATAAAGCTTCCAAAAATCATTCAGAAAACACAGAGTGACATTTTTTATGACATATAATATAGCCTAAGAGAATTTCTTTCGAAGTAGTGCAATATCTGTCTTATTAAGCTGGAAGCCTTTGGCAAGAATGTTGTCCGAAATAGGTGGATTTGAAGCAAAGATTGAGTTAGGAATAATGACAAATCCAGGATTTTGACTGTTGAAAAAGGAGAGATAAGTAGCTTTTTTGTTTCCCATATTATACTGGAAGTGAATAAGACCTTTTGGGAACACAAACACATCACCAGGATTAATGATTTTGGAGAAGAGACGACTCTTAAAGAAGTTTGCAGCATCAGGGACAAGAAATCCTGTATAGAGAGTACCCTCCAGGATAGTTATCAACTCAGTAGCTCGAGGGTGCGTGTGAAATTGAGCAAGACGTTGAGGTTCCAAGTCAGTACGACCAAGAAACATACCAAGAGTGTTAAGTCCAGGCATGTTGTTTACAGCCACACGAGTTGAAGCAAAACCAAGCCCAGGCACTACATTTCCACTAACATTAAGGCCTGAAAAATAGAAATCATTCGCTGTTGCAAGCTTTGGGTCTTTGCAAATCTTTCCATTCACGAAAACTGCACAGGTGAAATAAAATGAAACTGAGCATATTATTCAGATAATAAGAGCAGACATAAATTATACAACGTATATCCAAAAACTACGCCTCATTCCCAAACAAAATATTGAAGGATGATTTACCTGCAGCCTGAGAGTCGTTAACAGCAACACATATGTCCTGTAGAGGGTTGTTATCATAAGCATAAGCAGGGGAATAAGAAATGAAAGCAGTAATGGCTAATGTTGTTATGAACCACCACATACTCATTATTATGCTTTGGATTTGTGATGGGCTTTTTTCCAAACAGCCAGGAAGAAAGGTTTGACTACTTATACTCTCATCTAGTTCAAAATATCCGAGAAAAATAATATGTATTATGTAAAAATATGACACTTAGGCCTAACTCAACCCTAAAAGCTAGCTCACGAGGAAAGCATTGCATAAACCCATTGGTCCTTTCCACAATCAATGTGGGATTCTAACTCACTCTAACATATTGAAAAGCTTGAATCCACACTACTTGGTACTGCTACTATTAGAGTTAAAGTTCCACATGAACCAATTATGTGGGGCGTATTATATAAATGTGTCCTTTAACTTGGTCTCAACTGGCGTTACGCCCTCCAACTTTAGGTATTCACAAGTAGACACTTAAACTATCCAAAAGTTAAACAAGTAGACATACACATGCGTCCTATGTGGCATAATACATGTAGGATGCCATGTAGGACACAAAACTACCACATAAGACGCCATATAAGATGTGTGTGTCTACTTGTTCAACTATTGGAAGTTTAAGTGTTTACATGTGCACACCCCAAAGTTGAAGAGCATAGATGCTTGTTGAAGTTAAGTTAAGGAGCACATTTATGTATGGCTTATGCCAATTATATGGTGTCGCGAAATTATGTAATTTTTCGTTTAGAAGAGGGGTAAATTTTGGCTAGAAAACAATAGGTTAGGCTTTGAGGACCAATAGATAGACGAAATGTAAAAGTAAAACATACTGAATTGGTTAGGTACAATTTTGACCATTCTCTGAAAAATGAGCATAATACATAAATGTTCCATTTAACTTAGCCGCTTCAGTTGACATCCCCTCCAACTTTGAGTGTGCACAAGTAGGTACTTAAACTTGTATAAAATTGAATAAGTAGACACACACATTTTACGTGGCATATTACACATAGGACGCTATGTAGGATGTGAATTGTCATATAGGATGTCATGTATATGCATGTGTTTAATTGTTCAATTTTATACAAATTTAAGTATCTACTTGTGCACACCCAAAATTGGAGGGTCAAAGTTCAGTACTCGGCACTATCTTAGCATTTTTACCTTTTAGTTATATATCATCTCATTGTAAGGCACGGTATCATCTACAAGCATTGCGAAACCTGAAACCACTGATCTCTAGAAAAAAACTTCTATCAGAAATGGCCACCCAAACATTCCTAGATCTTCAATGGCTTCCACTTCCACTCAAAAGCCACAATCACCCGGAGAATTCTAGAACTTTTTTTTTTTTATCATTTTAAAAGTTTTGAAATCCATTTTAATAATTTTGTTAGCTAAGTTGGATAATTAGGGCAAATGTGTGCCCGTGTGATAATAGCGGGGGCACGATGGGACCTAAGCTTTAACAGAGGACAGAATCAGACCTTTTTTGCAAACCACAAGGACAATTTTGGATATTTTCTCCTCTTTCTAAGAGGAGAAGGATCTTAGATTGATATGTCATTCCCTCTCCTTTCTTTGTAGATTATTAGACCGGGACACCCATACCAAAGACTTAGCGTGCAATTTGCATAAAATCTAGTTTTCAACTTCAAAGTAGCAAGTGTTGCAAGTTAAAAGAAAAAAAAGGAACACTTATTGCAATAAAAACAAAAAACCCCTTGGATCAACAAAGTCGTTGTGGACCACACCACTAGATTGAGACTGTCAACTTCCTATCTGAGTAAGTAATGAATATCAGATCCTACTAACGTTCAACCGGTGATCGAGTCTAGTGGTGCTTGTGACTTTTCCTATTTCAACTTGGATTGAAAATATTCTACAGGAAATGATTCATACGCATCGACATTAGAGTCCAACTACATTGCTAGATTTCATGTTGTATAGTTGAAAAAATGTAGGACCAGTGTCAACAGTTCATCACTAAGTTTGGATCACTAACTAATACTAATCTAAAATAATAGTATAAGTATATAAAAGTTTTTCAACTTTTACTAGGGAAACTCAAGAATTGGTCCTAGAGCTCGAACTTATATAATTGAAACTCCAGGAAAGCATCTTAATCGACTAATAAGATATATGTCCTTTCCAGGAAAATCATTTCAACTTTACACTTGATAGCCATTAAGCATGTCAATTTCACTCTCATCACACCAGGTGCATGACCAACATAGTGCTTATTCATTAGTATATATTGCAAAGAAAGATTATACTTACATACACTGCCACTTTATTTATTAGGGGTCAAGTATTGTTCCAACTCATAAGACGCTGGTGAGCAGCTTATGTGCTGCAACCAACTTTCAGAAAACACAGAATCATATTTTTAATAACATATAGTATAGCCTAAGAGAATTTCTTTCGAAGTACTGCAATCTCTGTCTTATTAAGCATGAAGCCTTTGGCAAGAACGTCGTCCGAAATAGGTGGATTTGAAGCAAAGATTGAATTAGGAATAATGACAAATCCAGGATTTTGACTGTTGAAAATAGCGAAATAAGTAGCTTTTTTGTTTCCCACATTATACTGGAAGTGAATAAGACCTTTTGGGATTACAAACACATCACCAGGATTCAAGACTTTGGAGAAGAGACGACTCTTAAAGAAGTTTGCAGGATTGGGGACAAGAAATCCTGCATAGACAGTACCCTCCAGGATAGTTATCAGCTCAGTAGCTCGAGGGTGCGTGTGAAGTGGAGCAAGACGTTGAGGTTCCAAGTCAATACGACCAAAAAAAAGACCAAGAGTGTTAAGTCCAGGCATGTTGTTCAGATCCGCAGTCTTTGTAGCAAAACCAAACCCAGGCACTGCATTTCCACTAACATTAAAACCTGAAGCAAAGAAATCATTCGCTGTTGCAAGCTTTGGGTCTTTGCAAATCTTTCCGTTCACGAAAACTGCGCAGGTGGAATAAAAAGAAGCTAAGCATATTATTTAGATAATAAGAGCTGACATAAATTATACAACATATATACAAAAACTACACATCATTCCCAAACAAAATATAGAAGGATGATTAATTACCTGCAGCCTTAGAGTCATTAACAGCAACACATATGTCCTGTAGAGGGTTGTTATCATAAGCATAAGAAGGGGAATTACAAGTGAAAGCAGTAATGACTAAAGTTGTTATGAACCACCACGTCCTCATTGTTATGCTTTTGATTTGTGATAGGCTTTTTCCAAACAACCACAAAGCTATGACTATTTATACCAAGAAAAGAACAAGAAGTATCGAAAATTCACCATCAAGTCTATTTAGTAGGGCTAGTATAGAGTTGGTTTGGCAAGAAGTTAATGACATAAAAGAAGCATTCCACTTTTCGGAAAGGCATAATATAATGTATAAATGTGTAGGATAAGCATCTACAGAGGCAATGTCTCATAAGGCCCCGGTAATACCAATTGATTTTCACTGCTCTATATTCTGTCATTGTTTAATCTGGCCAAGTACCATTATTGGATCTTTATCATATTTTCTTGTTATTTGGCATTATCCATTTCTCTTGATGCCTCATGACACCAAATTCATTTTTACCAGTCTTTCCATTACTCTATCTTGCATTTTTTTTTAGTTCTGTTGAACCAATTTGGATCCAGTTGAATTTGTAAGGGACTCTTAACATATGTGCATCACTTGATTCAAGTTGTTGATTTATTTAAGAAATTATGTATAGTTATTAAGCATGTCGATTCCACTCTCAGATTACACAAGGTACATGGCCAACATAGTGCTTATTCATTAGTATTTATTGCAAAGAGAGATTATTGTTACATACATTGCCACTTTATTTATTAGGACTAATTGAGTAGAGCATTATTCCAACACTTTCATAAGACGCTGGTGCTCAGCTAGTGCGCTGCAAACAACTTTCAGGAAACACAAAAATCACATTTTTGATGAGACATAATATAGCCTAAGAGAATTTCCTTTGAAGTTCTGCAATCTGTGTCTTACTAAGTTGGAAGCCTTGGGTAAGAACATCGTCCGGAATGGGTGGATTTGAACCAAAGATTGAATTAGGAATAAAGATAAATCCAGGATTTTGACTGTTGAAAGCAGTGAGATAAGTAGCTTTTTTGTTTCCCACATTATACTGAAAGTGAATAAGACCAATTGGGAACACAAACACATCACCAGCATACAAGATTTTGGAGAAGAGACGACTCTTAAAGAAGTTTGCGGGATCAGGGACAAGAAATCCTGCATACAGAATACCCTCCAAGACAGTTATCAGCTCAGTAGCTCGAGGGTGTGTGTGAAATGGAACAAGACGTTGCGGTTCCAAGTCAACACGACCAATAGAAATACCAAGAGTGTTAAGTCCAGGCATGTTGTTTACATCCAGAAACTTTGCAGCACCACCAGCCCCGGGCGCTGCAATGCCACTAACATTAAGACCTGAAGCAAAGAAATCATTTGCTGTTGCAAACTTTGGGTCTTTGCAAATCTTTCCATTCACGAAAACTGCACAGGAGAAATAAAATTACGTTAAGCATATTATTCAGATTATATAATATATATACAAAAACTATGCCTCATTCCGAAACGAATAAGTATTATAGAAGGAAGATTCACCTGCAGCGTGAGCGTCCTTAACAGCAACACATATGTCCTGTAGAGGGTTGTTATCATAAGCATAAACAGGGGAATTAGAAAAGAAAGCAGTAATGGCTAAAGTTGTTATAAACCACAACATGCTCATTATTATAGCAAAGTTTAGTTTTCTTTGGATTTGTTATGATTTTTTCCAAACAACCCAAAAGGTGTGACTATTTATACCAAGAAACAAACAAAAGGTATTGAAAATTCAGCATCGAGATTCACGTGTCTTAAGTATATAGGGCTAGAATAGAGTTCTACATGAGACAATTATATACTATTGAAACTATAGTTAGTCAGATCTCCAAATTAGTTAGATATTTTATCTTATTGTTGCCAGCTGTATAACGGCAGTAATCAAGTTAGTTAGGATACATATTTTTCTCTTTTCCTTGTATAAATAGATAGCCTGTATTCCTTTCTTGACCACTTTTTTCCAGAATATGAAAATCTGAGGCAGTTTCCTCTCTTTCCTTTCTGTGTTAACTATTAATGGAGTCAAGTATTCACCATTATTGGAGATCGTGAAGCTTCAATCGAAGCTTAAGTAGCTGGATTTACCATATATGGTGTCACGAAATTATGCAAAGTTGACAAACATATATAATTGTCCGCTGAAGTCAAGTTAAAAAGCATGTTTATATATTATGCCTTTTGAAAAGAGTAAAGTAAAGCATACTAAAATAGGTTAGGTATGACTTTGACCATTCTCGATAAAATAAATCAAGGCTCCGTTCTCAGCACTATCTTAGAATATTTCATTATAACTTACTAGTTAATAGCATTGCCAAACTTGAAACCACTGATCTCTAAAACAATTGCCGCCCAAACATTCCTAGATCCATCTTCATTGTCGTCCACTTCCACTCAAAATTATCATTTGTCCTCCTTTCGACCCCCAAATACCCTGAAGTCAATCTTTTTGGCTTAAAAATACCCTTATTTCTAATCCATGAGGTAGATGTAGCAAATATTGTACCAAATCACAAAGTTCAAGTACATTTTAGGTCAAGAGGGAGTTGCTCGGATGGTAAGCACCCCTCACTTCTAACCCGAAGGTTGCGAGTTCGAGTCACCAAGGGAGCTAAAAGGGGTGGGAGCTCTTGGTTAGGGTAAAAAAAAAGTACATTTTAGGCCCTTCCACATTAAAAAAATTTGAAATTACTTAACATATAGACTCATATGATTGTCCTGAATTTGAGTTCTATAGTAGATTAAAAATAAAATAAAAAGTTAGTCCTCTACTATCTACCCAAGGGTCATTTTTTATAAATAAGAATCAAAAGAGTACGTAACTGAATCTGCAAAATCCTCCCCCCCCCCCCCCCCCCCCCCCCTCACTTCCTCTCTTTTATTTTTTCTTCTATCTTGTCCAACATTTTCAAAAAAAAAAAATCCAACTTATGACAAAACAAAGGTGAAAAAGAGGAAAATAATGACAACATTCATATATTAGTTCAATAGAAGATGATTTAACTAAGCAATTGTATACACGTATACTACATTTCTCTTTTGTGTGTACCCAAAATTTAAAATAAAAGAATGAAAATAATCTTTTCTCCTATCCTCATCCCCACCATGATAATATACAAATTAAAAGAATCAGAACATGTAAGTTCATTTGAAGTCTAAGTCCATGATATCTTAATTAAAAATAAGAGATTCAAAAAAGAATAAAAAGAGGAAATGAACAAGATAATTGGATAATTGATAGAAATTTTTATATTAATAAAAGAAATAGATGGACAATCAGACGGGACAAGTATGGATTTTAGATGGATCCCCAGTTATGAATTTAGTTATAATAAATTGGGGTTGATTTAATATAGGCTAATAGAAAGATAACATGAAATTAATAATTTTTTGAATATTATTTTCAAGCGTATCGATTCAAAATATGAATCGTATTTGATTTTTCTTATTTATTTGACAAGAGTTTAAATTTGGACCAATCAGATTAGGCAATATAATAAATAAATATTTAATGAGTTTACTTTACGGGAACTATTAAAAATAAAGGCAAATGTGAACCAAAAGATTAATACTGTCACGCCTTGAGCCTACACCCTTGGCAGGACTGGCACTCGAGAATCATTGTTGGCCCCAAGCGAACTCTTGGCCTGGCTTTCGTACTCAGCGGAAGACTTTACTCAAGATAAATACTTTTAAAAATAGTACACTGAACTGCTCAATAAATAACTGAGAATGTAATAAATAACATTCACTGCCAAAGTGGCAACTCAAGTCTCAACTTAACTGAAAATGGAAAAGTAAAGACTCATGAACTAACATCAACTAACTCTGTCTATGAAGCCTCTAAACACTGAGGGATGTCGGGACAAGACCCCCGATCATCCTAACAACTGAAATAAGCAAGCAATAAAACAAAACATAACCAAAGGGATCCTCCGGAAAGCAAGGAGGCTCATCAACTGACTCTGAGTGCTCAACTAGAATCAACGATGCGCTGGATGCTGATTCTGGTTACTTGTGTCTGCATCATAAGAAGATGCAGGCCAAATGGCATCAGTACATTAAATGTACGAGTATGCGAGGGGAAATCTAAAACAAGACATAAGCTTGAAAGGAACTGAAGAACTTACCTGGCTCAACTCAACTCAACCAATTTCAATATAAAGCAGTGTAAATAAATGCAGTATCAAGAAAAGCTTTAAAACATGGTTTTCAACTCTGTGTATTTAGAAATACAATAATAACTCTGTATGTATGCAAAGATACAATATAAACTCTAAATATATATAAAAATACAATTAACTCTGTGTATATAAGAATACAAAATACTGTTGTGAGAGTTTCTCTAACCGACGACCATCACTTAAGAGCTATCGTGATGATACAACATTTTGCCTCATGCTGCCAGGGCCGTCCTATACCTTGTCGGGGGTATAGAACCTGAACTACTAAGTGGACCCACAAGTCTATGCTAAAAAGCACTAAATGAATCATCTAAAAAGTATGACCCTTTTCTACCCATGGTGGCTACATGGTTTATGGGGGTTGTGAGTTGTCTCAACTTTCCCCCATATCGGTACTCAATACTACTCCCAAAATATGATACTAGCTCTTATGTTTTAAAAACATACTTCTTTCTGTGATTTGAGATAATTGCTCAAAAACTTAGCTCAAAGGCTATCTTGGAAATCAAAGTTTCCTCTCTTGCTTAATTGTGAAAGCATTTACTCTTTACTGAAAAAACTAGCTCAAAGGCTCTTTACTAAAAAACTAACTCAAAGGCTCTTTTGAAAATCAAAGTTTCCTTTCTTGCTTAAATGTGAAAACATTTACTCTTTGAGAATACATAGTCCCGATATATTCTTTTTGAAGAAAACTTCAATCTTTACTCTTTACTCAACTCAAAACTCAAGTTTTAAAACAAAGTTAAAACATTTGTAAAACACTTTTGGAAGACTCTATGAACTTCTCTTGACTAGGCTCTTAACTTCTCTTGACTTGACTCTTAACTGATCCTTGAATTAAATTATGGATTCAAGGATTGTGATTTGTGATAGGAAAGATCTCATGATGTTTAGGAGTGTTTTTA